GCACAGGTGTTGAGGCACAGGTGTTGTGAGGCACAGATGTTGTGAGGCACAGATGTTGTGAGGCACAGATGTTGAGGCACAGGTGTTGTGAGGCATAGATGTGAGGCACAGGTGTTGTGAGGCACAGATGTTGTGAGGCACAGTTGTTGTGAGGCACATATGTTGAGAGGCACAGATGTTGTGAGGCACAGGTGTTGTGAGGCACAGGTGTTGTGAGGCACAGGTGTTGTGAGGCACAGGTGTTATGAGGCATAGATGTTGTGAGGCACAGATGTTGTGAGGCACAATGTTGTGAGGCACAGATGTTGTGAGGCACAATGTTGTGAGGCACAGATGTTGTGAGGCAGATGTGAGGCACATGTGTTGTGAGGCACAGTTGTTGTGAGGCACATGTGTTGTGAGGCACAGATGTGAGGCACAGGTGTTGTGAGGCACAGATGTTGTGAGGCACAGATGTGAGGCACAGGTGTTGTGAGGCACAGATGTTGTGAGGCACAGGTGTTGTGAGGCACAGGTGCTGCGAGGCACAGGTGTTGTGAGGCATAGGTGTTGTGAGGCACAGGTGTTGTGAAGCACAGATGTTGTAAGGCACAGATGTGAAGCACACATGCTGTGAAGCACATGTGAAGCACATATGTTGTGAGGCACAGATGTTGTGAAGCACAGGTGTTGTGAAGCAGATGTTGTGAGGCACAGATGTTGTGAAGCACAGATGTTGTGAAGCACACGTGTTGTGAAGCACATATGTTGTGAGGCACAGATGTTGTGAAGCACAGGTGTTGTAAGGCACAGGTGTTGTGAAGCACAGGTGTTGAGGCACAGATGTTGTGAGACACAGATGTTGTGAGGCACGGGTGTTGTGAAGCACAGATATTGTGAGGCACAGATGTTGTGAGGCACAGATATTGTAAGGCACAGGTGTTGTAAGGCACATGTTGTGAGGCACAGATGTTGTGAAGCACAGGTGTTGTGAGGCACAGATGTTTAGGCACAGGTGTTGTGAGGCACAGATGTTGTGAGGCACAATGTTGTGAAGAACAGAAGTTGTGAAGAACAGATGTTGTGAGGCACAGGTGTTGTGAAGCACAGGTGTTGTGAAGCACTGGTGTTGTGAAGCATAAGTGTTGTGAGGCACAGGTGTTGTGAAGCACAGATGTTGTGAAACAGATGTGAATCACAGGTGTTGTGAAGCACCGGTGTTGTGAGGCACACATGTGAGGCACAGATGTTGTGAAGCACAGGTCTTGTGAGGCACTATGTTGTGAAGCACAAATGTTGTGAAGCACAGATGTTGTGAAGCACAGATGTTGTGAAGCACAGATGTTGTGAAGCACAGGTGTTGTGAAGCACAGGTGTTGTGAAGCACAGGTGTTGTGAGGCACAGCTGTTGTGAGGCACAGATGTGAGACAGGTGTTGTGAGGCACAGATGTGAGACAGGTGTTGAGGCACAGATGTTGTGAGGCACAGGTGTTGTGAGGCACAGGTGTTGTGAGGCACAGATGTTGAGGCACAGGTGTTGTGAGGCACAGATGTTGTGAGGCACAGATGTTGTGAGGCACATGTGTTGTGTGGCACAGGTGTTGTGAGGCACAGATGTGAGGCACAGTTGTTGTGAGGCACAGGTGTTGTGAGGCACAGATGTTGTGAGGCAAAGATGTGAGGCACAGGTGTTGTGAGGCACAGATGTTGTGAGGCACAGATGTGAGGCACAGGTGTTGAGGCACAGATGTGAGGCACAGATGTTGAGGCAGGTGTTGTGAGGCACATGTTGTGAGGCACAGTTGTGAGGCACAGATGTGAGTCACAGGTGTTGAGGCACAGGTGTTGTGAGGCACAGATGTTGTGAGGCACAGATGTTGTGAGGCACAGATGTTGAGGCACAGGTGTTGTGAGGCATAGATGTTGTGAGGCACAGGTGTTGTGAGGCACAGATGTTGTGAGGCACAGTTGTTGTGAGGCACATATGTTGAGAGGCACAGATGTTGTGAGGCACAGGTGTTGTGAGGCACAGGTGTTGTGAGGCACAGGTGTTGAGGCATAATGTTGTGAGGCACAGATGTTGAGGCACAATGTTGTGAGGCACAGATGTTGTGAGGCAGATGTGAGGCACAGGTGTTGAGGCACATGTGTTGTGAGGCACAGTTGTTGTGAGGCACATGTGTTGTGAGGCACAGGTGTTGTGAGGCACAGATGTTGTGAGGCACAGATGTGAGGCACAGGTGTTGTGACGCACAGATGTTGTGAGGCACAGGTGTTGTGAGGCACAGGTGCTGTGAGGCACAGGTGTTGTGAGGCATAGGTGTTGTGAGGCACAGGTGTTGTGAAGCACAGATGTTGCAAGGCACAGATGTGAAGCACACAAGTTGTGAAGCACATATGTTGTGAGGCACAGATGTTGTGAAGCACAGATGTTGTGAGGCACAGATGTTGTGAAGCACAGATGTTGTGAAGCACACGTGTTGTGAAGCACATGTGAAGCACATATGTTGTGAGGCACAGATGTTGTGAAGCACAGGTGTTGTGAAGCACAGATGTTGTGAGGCACAGATGTTGTGAAGCACACATGTTGTGAAGCACATGTGTTGTGAAGCACAGGTGTTGTGAATCACAGGTGTTGTGAAGCACAGGTGTTGTGAAGCACACGTGTTGTGAAGCACAGGTGTTCTGAAGCACAGATGTTGTGAAGCACAGATGTTGTGAAGCACAGGTGTTGTGAAGCACAGGTGTTGTGAAGCACAGATGTTGTGAGGCACAGATATTGTGAAGCACAGATGTTGTGAAGCACAGATGTTGTGAAGCACAGGTGTTGTGAAGCACAGGTGTTGTGAAGCACAGATGTTGTGAGGCACAGATATTGTGAAGCACAGATGTTGTGAAGCACAGATGTTGTGAAGCACAGGTGTTGTGAAGCACAGGTGTTGTGAAGCACAGATGTTGTGAGGCACAGATATTGTGAAGCACAGATGTTGTGAGGCACAGATGTTGTGAAGCACAGGTGTTGTGAAGCACAGATGTTGTGAAGCACAGGTGTTGTGAAGCACAGATATTGTGAAGCACAGATGTTGTGAAGCACAGGTGTTGTGAAGCACAGATGTTGTGAGGCACAGATGTTGTGAAGCACAGATGTTGTGAAGCACAGATGTTGTGAGGCACAGATGTTGTGAAGCACAGGTGTTGTGAAGCACAGATGTTGTGAAGCACAGATGTTGTGAAGCACAGGTGTTGTGAAGCACAGATGTTGAGGCACAGATATTGTGAAGCACAGATGTTGTGAAGCACAGGTGTTGTGAATCACAGGTGTTGTGAAGCACAGGTGTTGTGAAGCACACGTGTTGTGAAGCACAGGTGTTGTGAAGCACAGGTGTTGTGAAGCACAGATGTTGTGAGGCACAGGTGTTGTGAAGCACAGGTGTTGTGAAGCACAGGTGTTGTGAAGCACAGGTGTTGTGAAGCACAGGTGTTGTGAAGCACAGGTGTTGTGAAGCACAGGTGTTGTGAAGCACAGGTGTTGTGAAGCACAGGTGTTGTGAAGCACAGATGTTGTGAGGCACAGGTGTTGTGAAGCACAGGTGTTGTGAAGCACAGGTGTTGTGAAGCACAGATGTTGTGAGGCACAGATGTTTGGGTCCAGGATGGGGCAAAATGTTGTGGTGGGTTTGTGTCTGTTTCGCTCACCTTATTGTGATGTTTTTAAGTCTGTATTGTGATGTGTTGTTAGATGATGATGATGATGATGATGATGATGATGATGATGATGATGGTGGTGGTGGTGGTGATGGTGGTGATGGTGGTGAGGATGGTGTTGGTGAAGATGATAATGGTGAGGATGATGATGATGATGATTAAGATGATGGTGATGGTAAAGATGAGGATGATGGTGATGAACATGATGGTGACGATAAAGATGGTGAACATAGTGACACTGGTGGTGATGGTGAAGATAAAGATGGTCATACACCTCTTGCTGCCCAAATAATAATGATGGTGAAAGCGCTAAACCCACAGGAGCCATACACCACTTGGGAAACATCTTGTAGTCTATGAAACCAAAAATAAAAAATCAGTAATGCTCATTATAGTTATATTATTATTAGAATCAAGGGGAAGCACTAAACCCGTAGGTTTATGCAGCACCTGTGCGGGGGATGTGGAAGGTATTCGAGCTTAATTCAGGGAACTGGAGCACATTATAATTATTATTATTATAATCATGGGGGAGTGCTAAACCCGTATGATTATAGTGCATGTGGGGGGGGGATGGGAGGCATTCAGGCTCAATTCAGGGAACTGGAGCACAGATCCAATTCCCTAGATCAAGATCCCCTCACCAGCATCAAGGAACCTTCCTTGAGGGGAACTAGAGCACAGCTTATTATACAGATTAATGAGCATTATTAGGTAACTCTAAAAACACAAAACATTAATATCTGGTCATCTGTTTGGCTTTCATTATTTTTTTAAGCCTTGCTGGTCGATAAAGGAGGGCCCCACTTTACAGCGTTTAGCTTACAGTGTTTCACTAATGCAGCGGTTTGCAATTACAGTGGACACCCGGCTTACGATATTATTTCATTCCAGAAGAATGTTCAGGTGCCAGTACTGAACGAATTTGTTCCCATAAGGAATATTGTGAAGTAGATTAGTCCATTTCAGACCCCCAAACATACACATACAAACGCACTTACATAAATACACTTACATAATTGGTCGCATTGGGAGCTGATCATAAAGCGGGGGTCCACTGTATACCTATTTTTCATTTATTCAGACTGCCATTCACTATAAGCTAAGGACGAAAATATTTAACCCTTAAACTGTCCAAACAAGATCTATGTTCGCACGTCCAGCGCTTCAAAAGTAGATCTGTTTTTTTACATACTTTAAAATGTAAAAAAACATAGATCTACGTTTGGGCAGTTTAAGGGTTAATTTGTACGGTGGTTCACCAGAACTAATGTGTATAATTATACTTTAACAGGTATAATAATAAAACTTTACTTTTATGAAATATTTATTCAGTGATAAAGAAATTACCATTTTATACTACACAAGAAAAAATAATAATGGCTCACTAGTAGTACAGTAAAACAAAATTCATAGAATTCCAAAAAAAATTTTCCGTTTTTACTTAAGACTTAAAGTTTAGAGAACTGTGATTCCTTATTTATATGACTGATATACCAGTAGATCAATTATGAAAGCTAGCAAATGTAAAGTATCTTATATGATTTATATTAATTATTCCATAGAGAAGAATACTAGTCACAATACCATGAGTGGGATGATTTACAAATATCTCATATACTTAGGAAACTTCAAAGACATTTCAGTCTATTCTGTATCATTATTAAGCAACAAATTAACTCGGTTAATTTGTTGCTTAATAATGATCCAGGACTTAAACTGTCCAAACGTAGATCTATGTATTTTTACATTTGAAAGTACGGAAAAAACTTAGATCTTTTTTTTTATATTTGAAACCATGTAAAAAAACGTAGATCTACTTTTGGAGCGCTATGCATGTAAACGTAGATCTATGTTTGGACAGTTTAAGGGTTAATAATGATGTTTCAGGCCATCCAGGACTTAACAGTCCTGGATGGCCTGAAACATCAACTAACATTATGTCTCCTAAGACATAAGTAAGTTCCACAAGAATATGCTGAATATACACAACATGTGAAGAACATCACTATACTATGCATAGCTAAAAATATGAAAAATATCAGTGAGAAATAAGTGTATCAACACAAAAGTACTTAAGTGTCTCAGTTGATTTAATTTTTCATTGTGATATTTCTTCATACATTCCATACAGCATTTAAAAACTGACCATATCCAAGTGAGAATGCTGATACTAGAGGTTCACCGGTAATAATATTTTGGATGCATGTTTCACCAGTTATCTGTACAACATCTTATGTCAAAGATAAGTAATATAGAAGACAATGTTTTTATGCCCCAACTATATTAAGGAGACTAGTAATTATTTCTATGTTTATCACAGGGGAAAAAAGAGGCACAATACCGTTATTGGAACAATACACAAATAACCTACACATAGACAGGAACTCATGACAAAGTTTCGGTCCGACTTGGACCAAATCGGACCAAAACATCGTTGTAAGCTCCTCTCTCCTATGACCAGGTTATATGTGTATCACAGAGTTTTGAATGAAAGGAAAATTAAATCTGAACATGTCACAAGAAGAAAACAATACCATGGACTGAAAAATTTGCAACCCATAATTTGGAAAAGAGTCTACATCATGTTTCAATGTCTTAGATCATTATGTAGTTATAAAAGAAAACAGATGAAAGTCAAAAGTCAAGTAAGATAAAGCAAGGTCACGAGACGGCCAAGTTTAGGTCAGTCAGGCAAGAGGGACAAAATTAGGTCACACAAAGATTCTAAGAAGGGCAATCACCAACAGAAACAAGGCTAAGATCAATTTTAGGAATACTGTGTGCATGGATGGATTCAAGAAGGCATCTGTGAAGATTAAAACAGAGAAGCCTTGGCAGAGGACTAGCTTGTAGGGTGGTCTCTACCATGACTCTAAACAGCACTGTCTAGTTCCATCTATAATTTCTGGATTAGTTGTGAATTATACCAAAGATTACACAACAAGTGGAAAAATACTTTTGTTATTTACATGAGAAAAACTTGAAAATTGCTAAATCAGGATATAAAACATGTAGCAAAAATGGAATACTTCAAACTAGCATCCTGCAATACTAGCTTACATGCAAAAAAGTCATAAATATGAAGCAGTTCTAGGATTGGTTTGCGTGCAGCCAGCAGCAACAGCCTGGTTGATCAGGCGCTGATCCACCAGGAGGCCTGGTCACAGACCGGGCCGCGGGGGCATTGACCCCCGAAACTCTCTCCAGGTAAACTCCAGGTAACACTGAAGTTGCAATAAAGTGGTAGAATTACCGACAATATGTAAAGTAAAAGGACACAAGTGCAACTAATGTGACATTTTATTGTGGCAACGTTTCGCTCTCCAGGAGCTTTATCAAGCCATTACGGTAATGGCTTGATAAAGCTCCTGGAGAGCGAAACGTTGCCACAATAAATGTCACATTAGTTGCACTTGTGTCCTTTTACTTAACACTGAAGTTGCTTATCATAGCATACTGAGGCAACAGAGGAACAGACTATAACAGAATATAGCAGAATCCTGAAAAGGTCATAAATGGAAGGCCTCTGTGCAATCTCAGATTTACAGACATTTTAAATTCAAGGAGAAAAAGCAAAGACAGACATTGGAAGCAGGAGTATGCCAGACTCTCAGACTACCAATTGTGCCCTATGTATGATAACAATCATTACATAATTGGTAGAGATTGGTATTTGCTCAGTCCCTGCATTATTCAATCATATTCAGAAAGTCCAGATTTTGTAGAATTTTTAATATACTGCACTAGGATAGTACCCACGGGTAGGAAAAAAATAAATACATTCAATAACTCTTTTGCTAAATACACACAGACATTAAAATTCAAATGACCTCCAATCTGCAACCTTCTCACCCTTGCTTTAGTGCAGGCACTCTTCTTCCCACAACCAGGACTAAGGGTCTTCCTCTTACAACTTTCTCAGGCTGTGTGCCTCCTGGCTCTGCAACAATCTATGCTCAGTGTCTCCAATGTTATGAGAAGATCCTTTCTTGCATTTCCTTCTACTACGTGATTTTTAGATTTGTCCCTACAACCCTGTTTCATATTTGATATATACAGTGGAACCCCGGTTATCATATGCCCTATTTTGTATGTAAAACTATAGTTATTCTCTATAAAATGTATTTTTTGTTAATATTTTTGGGTGTCTGGAATGTAAATCCAATTACCCCATTCCAGACACCCAAAAATATTAACAAAAAATACATTTTATAGAGAATAACTATGGTTTTACATACAAACAAGGGCATACGAAAACCGAGCTTCCACTGTATATTGTTTGTACAGTGGACCCCCGGTTTACGATATTATTTCATTCCAGAAGTATGTTCAGGTGCCAGTACTGACCGAATTTGTTCCCATAAGGAATATTGTGAATTAGATTAGTCCATTTCAGACCCCCAAACATACACATACAAACGCACTTACATAAATACACTTACATAATTGGTTGTATTGGAAGCTGATTGTAAACCAGGGGTCCACTGTATAATAGTATACATTTGCTTGCATGGTGTTACTTCAAAACATTTCACTTCAACTTTCTATATTTAAAATAGTGTAATACAAATTTTGTTATGCTTAGCTTCTCTCATGTAAATAACATTGTAGAATGCATCAGAAAAATACCCTTATTATATTATACAAAAATCCCTTCATGCATACCTGAAATACATACTGTATTGCTAAGAAAAATAATTATCACATATTTCCATTAGTGGAATTAAATCACCTTTCACTTAAATCATGTGAAGCTTGTAAGCAACAAAGTAATTTCATCTCTATAAAAAAACTAACATACAAAATGTACCGTATGCAATTTGCAAATACATGCGTAGTAAAAAAAAATCAAGAACCGTAAAATAAAGTGTACTGGTTAATTTTGTCTGGTGCCCTATACAAATTAAAAAACAACTGATGATTATTCCAAAATTAAACAATCCCAGGACTTCACATTTACCGAAGTGTGTTGGTGTAATGGGCTTCATGAGATTCATAGAGCGATACTTCCAACAGCGAGCCTCTTGCAGCAGACGACCGAGGAGAAGACACATCTTCCCTCTTGTATACCGGACTAGTGGATCCCTTGGGTGGAATGTTGAATGCGACTTTCGGCATCTTCATCCGGCCTAATGACAGAAAAAATCATTCATTCACAAAATGCAATATTAGCAATACAGTATATACAAAAAATATACTAATGATCAATACCTAACAGAAAAGTCAATACCACACACACACAGTGAGTATGTGAATGTGATTACCTATTTAAACAGGTACAGGAGGAGAGCTAGGCTAGCTGTGTCAAGTCTTCAGTGTTTAGTTTCAGTTTTCTAAAGAATACATTCCCCTCAAGCGAGGTTCCTTGACGCTGGCGAGGGGCTCTTGATCTAGGGAATCGGATTTGTGCTCCAGTTCCCTGAACTGAGTTGGAATATTCAGCCTTCCCCCCCCCCCCAGGCACTGTATAATCCCTACGGGTTTAGCGCTCCCTCATAATGATAATAAAGAATACATTAATTCAACCATTTACTACCTCATACTATGAATCATTTCAATGTATACCACCCTGTTTGCAAAGAAAAACCTTTTAGAATCCTATTAGCAAGGAGGAAAACACATTTGCTATCATTCAGTTAACTGCTGTCTTTCCAGGAGGGTGCTGACATCACAGTTTTGATGGCCATCTGAAATTCAACATCCTCCTCCCTCCTTCAGGGTGCAATCAGTGCACTTCCCACCTTCAGGATTAATGTCCAGCTAACTAATTTTCCTGAACCCCTTCATGTTATGTTGCCCCCATTCCAACAGCACATCACAAAAACCATTTGTTTCCACTCACTCCTGTCCAATGCTCTCACACAGGCCTGTTGAATGTTCAAGCCCCTAGTACTCAAAACTTCCTTTGCACTTTCACCCAGAATAGACACCATTATAAGTTATCCCAAAAAGGGCAGAGGCAGACTGAAAAAGAAAAACTTTCATCATTCACTCCATAACTGCCTTGCCAGAGGTGCACTTACACTTGTTATAAAACTGCAACATTAACACCCCTCCTTCAGAGTGCAGACACTGTACTTCCCATCTCCAAGAATGAAGTCTGGCTTGCTGATTTCCTTGGATCCCTTCATAAATGTTACCTTGCTCACACTCCAACAGCACATCAAGTCCTAAAAACCATCTGTCTCCATTTGCTCCTATCTAACATGCTCATGCATGCTTGCTGGAAGTTCAAGCCCCTCCCTCCAACCTTTCTCCCTTCACTACAGATTTATACTCTCTCGAAGTCATTCTATTTTCTTCCATGCTCTCTACATGTCCAAACCACACACACAATGAGTATGTTTATGTGATTACCTCAGCCCTCTGGATAATAGTTTTGGTAATCCCGCACCTCTTCCTAATTTCCAAACTACGAATTCTCTGCATTATATTCACACCACACATTGCTCTCAGATATGACATCTCCACTGCCTCCAGCCTTCTTGCTGAAACATTCACAACCCATGCTTCACACCCATATAAGTGTGTTGGTAAAACTATACTCTCGTACATTCTCCTCTTTGCTTCCACAGACAAATTTCTTTGTCTCCACAGACTTCTAAATGCACTATTCACCTTTTTTTTCCTCATCAATTCTATGATTCACCTCATCCTTCATAGACCCATCTGCTGACACGTCCACTACTAAATATCTGAATACATTCACCTCCTCCATACTCTCTCCCTCCAATCTGATACCAATCTTTCGTCACCTAATTTTTTTGTTACCCTCATCACCTTACTCTTTCCTATACTGACTTTTAGTTTTCTTCTTTCACATACCCTACCAAATTCATCCACCAACCTCTGCAACTTCTCTTCAGAATCTCCCAAAAGTACCGTGTCATCAGCAAAGAGCAACTGTGACAACTCCCACTTCGTGTTAGATTCTTTATCTTTTAACTCCACACCTCTTGCCAAGACCCTCGCATTCACTTCTCTTACAACCTCATCTATAAATATATTGAACAACCACAGTGACATCACACATCCTAGTCTAAGGCCTACTTTTACTGGGAAATAATCTCCCTCTCTCCTACATACTCTAACCTGAGCCTCAGTATCCTAAATAACAAAAAAAAAGGCACAATACCGTGACTGGAACGATACACAAATAACCCGCACATAAAAGAGAGAAGCTTAGTAAAAACTCTTTACTGTTTTCAGTAACCTACCTCCTATTCCAAACATTTGCAACATCTGCCACACTGCCCCCCTATCCAACCTGTCATATGCCTTTTCCAAATCCAAATGAAGGTCATATACATGTAAAGATTTAACTAATAACTTTTAAACTTAGTTAGGATGGTACGAGGACAATGACTGCCTAACAATGTAACTCAGCTTAATCTAGCATAATGTAAATTAAAAGGTATGCTTAAAATATTACTTCTATATTAACATTTATTTTGTAAAAATAGTGCGTACAGTCTCTTGTACCTGAAGATTTTACCCGACAAATAATCCATAACAATTTAAGCCATGATAACGAGAAAGAGTTAAAACTTACCACACTATACTTACTTCATATATTTAACCTTTATTATATTATTCTTAATTTACAATAACTAAGCTAAATACAAACTGAAAGCTGCTCAGAATGAAACTAAGTGAAAACCAAAACTATAAGATTTTTGTGGACTAAAGTACAGTGTAGATAAATGGTTCAGAGAACTGACAGGATGATGAATTAAGACACTTGTGTAACACTTGGCTAGTTTTATTGCCAACCAGTGGCTTCCTCAGTCCAATAAAGAAAAGAATGGTTGAAGATTAGCAAGAGTTTGTGGTAAGCAGTACCTCAGTCTGGAACTGATGTGCTCACGACTGGAAAAGGTTCCGCTCTAAAGATCCCCAAGTGTTACACAAGTGTGTAACTGTCAAGTGTGTAACACTTGGTGTGTAACTGTCAAGTGTGTAACACTTGGTGTGTAACTGTCAAGTGTGTAACACTTGGTGTGTAACTGTTGTTATGTTTTGAGTCTTTTCAGAGAGGAGACCCGTTAGTAACAACAGGTGAAGATCCACTTAGGTCTTCTTACTCTTTTTAAATACACATACATAAATATAAGGCAAAAAAGTTCTATAATGCTTTATCTGGTTTTATTCAGTATAATACTAAGCTTATAGAGTCATTAGTAATTTAAATAATTGATAAAATTTAGGTATACCTTTTCTTATATATTCATATGTACACAATCACTGTAGTTTCATAATCAAAGTCAAGATCAATGAAACACTAGAGAGGGCGCCTTTACCGTCTCCTCAATCAATTATATACACTACAGCTAGAACTGGTTAGAGACTATCACGAGACTTTAATGGTTGGAGAACACAGACGTGGTGTATTGCTTCACTAAATGGCTGACTGCACAGACGCAACCCATCAAGTATTCCCAGACTGAAGTAATCCAAGCAACCTTGGTTGAACCTAGGAATCCTGGTTCAAAGGTTCTCCTGAGACTTGCAACAAGAGAATAGGGAAGCTCCGTGGCTTGGTGCTTTCTCTACCGGAGGTGAGAATGAACTGCCATGAGTAAAACTCCCTTGCTTGACGTCACCTCGGAATGAGTGAGTTTGTGAAGCATAAACGACCACAAGTCAATTCAACATATAAACACAAAACATCCTACAAAAAAAAAAAAAACAATTATTCATGGCCAGATAATATTATAAAACTAGGAGTCTTTATTTTAGCTACGAATAAAGGTACCAGTAATATAATACTAAGTGAAAAAGCCGTAATTACACATTAATCAATTGACCCTTCTTCAATTATGCCCAAAGGGCGTAACACTGTCAAGTGTACTCACCTAGTTGAGGTTGCAGGGGTCGAGTCCAAGCTCCTGGCCCCGCCTCTTCACTGGTCGCTACTAGGTCACTCTCCCTGAACCGTGAGCTTTATCGTACCTCTGCTTAAAGCTATGTATGGATCCTGCCTCCACTACATCACTTCCCAAACTATTCCACTTCCTGACTACTCTATGGCTGAAGAAATACTTCCTAACATCCCTTTGATTCATCTGTGTCTTCAGCTTCCAACTGTGTCCCCGTGTTGCTGTGTCCAGTCTCTGGAACATCCTGTCTTTGTCCACCTTGTCAATTCCTCTCAGTATTTTGTAAGTCGTTATCATGTCCCCCCTATCTCTCCTGTCCTCCAGTGTTATCAGGTTGATTTCCCTTAACCTCTCCTCATAGGACATACCTCTTAACTCTGGGACTAGTCTTGTTGTAAACCTTTGCACTTTCTCTAGTTTCTTTACATGCTTGGCTAGGTGTGGGTTCCAAACTGGTGCCGCATACTCCAATATGGGCCTAACGTACACGGTGTACAGGGTCCTGAACAATTCCTTATTAAGATGTCGGAATGCTGTTCTGAGGTTTGCCAGGCGCCCATATGCTGCAGCAGTCATTTGGTTGATGTGCACTTCAGATGTGCCTGGTGTTATACTCACCCCAAGATCTTTTTCCTTGAGTGAGGTTTGTAGTCTCTGGCCCCCTAGACTGTACTCCGTCTGCAGTCTTCTTTGCCCTTCCCCAATCCTCATGACTTTGCACTTGGTGGGATTGAACTCCAGGAGCCAGTTGCTGGACCAGGTCTGCAGCCTGTCCAGATCCCTTTGTATTTCTGCCTGGTCTTCGATCGAATGAATTCTTCTCATCAACTTCACGTCATCTGCAAACAGGGACACCTCGGAGTTTATTCCTTCCATCATGTCGTTCACAAATACCAGAAACAGCACTGGTCCTAGGACTGACCCCTGTGGGACCCCGCTGGTCACAGGTGCCCACTCTGACACCTCGCCACGTACTATTACTCGCTGCTGTCTTCCTGACAAGTATTCCCTGATCCATTGCAGTGCCTTCCCTGTTATCCCTGCTTGGTCCTCTAGTTTTTGCACTAATCTCTTGTGTGTACTGTGTCAAACGCCTTCTTGCAATCCAAGAAAATGCAATCCACCCACCCCTCTCTCTCTTGTCTTACTGCTGTCACCATGTCATAGAACTCCAGTAGGTTTGTGACACAGGATTTCCAGTCTCTGAAACCATGTTGGCTGCTGGTGATGAGATCATTCCTTTCTAGATGTTCCACCATTCTTCTCCTGACAATCTTTTCCATGATTTTGCATGCTATACATGTCAGTGACACTGGTCTGTAGTTTAGTGCTTCATGTCTGTCTCCTTTTTTAAAGATTGGGACCACATTTGCTGTCTTCCATGCCTCAGGCAATCTCCTTGTTTCGATAGATGTATTGAATATTGTTGTTAGGGGTACACATAGCGCCTCTGCTCCCTCTCTCAGGACCCATGGAGAGATGTTATCTGGCCCCATTGCCTTTGAGGTATCTAGCTCACTCAGAAGCCTCTTCACTTCTTCCTCGGTTGTGTGTACTATGTCCAGCACATGGTGGTGTACCCCACCTCTTCGTCTTTCTGGAGCCCCTTCTGTCTCCTCTGTGAACACTTCTTTGAATCTCTTGTTGAGTTCCTCACATACTTCACTGTCATTTCTTGTTGTCTCTCCTCCTTCCTTCCTTAGCCTGATTACCTGGTCCTTGACGGTTGTTTTCTTCCTGATGTGGCTGTATAACAGCTTCGGGTCAGATTTGGCTTTTGCTGCTATGTCGTTTTCATATTGACGTTGGGCCTCCCTTCTTATCTGTGCATATTCTTTTCTAACTCTACGACTTCTCTCCTTATTCTCCTGGGTCCTTTGCCTTCTATATTTCTTCCATTCCCTAGCACACTTGGTTTTTGCATCTTTGGGTGAACCATGGGCTCATCCTGGCTTTTTCATTATTCTTGTTACCCTTGGGTACAAACCTCTCCTCAGCCTCCTTGCACATTGTTGCTACATATTCCATCATCTCATTAACTGGCTTCCCTGCCAGTTCTCTGTCCCACTGAACCTCATTCAGGAAGTTCCTCATTCCTGTGTAGTCCCCTTTCCTGTAGTTTGGTTTCATTTGTCCTGGCCTTCCTGCTTCCCCCTCCACTTGTAGCTCTACTGTGTATTCGAAGCTCAAAACCACATGATCGCTGGCCCCAAGGGGTCTTTCATATGTGATGTCCTCAATATCTGCACTACTCAAGGTGAATACTAAGTCCAGTCTTGCTGGTTCATCCTCTCCTCTCTCTCTTGTAGTGTCCCTTACATTGGTACATGAAGTTTTCCAGTACCACCTCCATCATCTTAGCCCTCCATGCTTCTTTGCCCCCATGTGGCTCCAAGTTTCCCCATTCGATCTCCTTGTGGTTAAAGTCGCCCATGATCAGGAGCTTTGCCCTGCACGCATGAGCTCTTCTGGCCATTGCAGCCAGTGTGTCAACCATCGCTCTATTGCTCTCGTCATACTCTTGCCTTGGCCTCCTGCTGTTCTGTGGTGGGTTATACATCACTGCAATTATCACCTTGGGACCTCCAGAGTGAAGCGTTCCCGCTATGCAATCACTTTCTTCTCCGCTGTCTCCTCTCTCCAGCTCATCAAAATTCCATCGGTGTTTGATCAGCAATGCCACTCCTCCACTTCCCCTGTTCCTTCTGTCTTTCCTCAGGATCTGGTATCCCGTTGGAAAGATGGCATCTGTTATCATACCTGTAAGCTTGGTTTCTGTGATCGCTATGATGTCTGGTGATGCCTCTGACTCTTTCGTGCCACTCCTCCCACTTGTTTGTTATTCCATCAGCGTTTGTGTACCATACCTTCAGTTTCCTTTCCAACACTGTGGTTTGGGGGTGGGAGACCTGGTAGCATACTGTGGGATTCTATGGTTGGGGGTTGGGTGGAAGCTGTGGGTATGGAGTGTGTAACACTTGGTGTGTAACTGTTGAAGCAGTTGTGAAAAGCTCCTTACCTTTATGCTTTGACACCAGCGCAGGTTGCTTGTCCGTTAACATCTCCATGCGGCGACGCAATCTCTCGTTTTCCTTGTTCGCTTCCTCATTCTGGAAGTTGTAGGTGATATAATAAAGTTAGAAAATATTTCTAAATCACTCAATCAAAATATTAAAATAGGTACTGTAAATGGAAATTATTGATATATAAATCAATACTGCATTAAGGCATTAGCTTGAGAATGGTCCAGGATAACCCTAAATAACAACAAAAGCTTTTTCTACAAAATGACTCACGAAATCATAATTACACAATTGCAAACAAACCATACCATGTTTTTTTCTACGAATTTTGGGTTTGTGGTAAATTGTTCCAGTCACATTATTGTGACTTTTGTTCTTGTGTACCACACATGGTACTGTATGTGAAGGATGGCTTTACAAAGACATTACTGCTGTAATAAGAACATAAGAAAGGAGGAACACTGCAGCAGGCTTGTTGGCCCATACAAGGCAAGTCCTTCACAGATCCATCCCATTAATAGAATATTTGCCCTCATAAGAACAATACTTGCCCTCATAAGAACAATATTTGCCCTCATAAGAACAATATTTGCCCTCATAATAAGTATTCACCCTGCCTTGGTGGGATATGGCCAGTTTGTTGCAAGAAGAAAGTAGTTGTTGAAGATAATAAGAGTCAATAAAACTTGCAGTTTCTATGCTGTAAGGCCTGATCTCAGACCGAGCTGCAGGGGCATTAACCCCCGAAACTCTCTCCAGGCATACTCCAGGTATACTAACCACTAAGACAGGGACAGCCGAAGAGTACATAACATCAGGTAGAATCTGGTCTTCCTTGTTGACAAGTGTTGGCTGGCTGGGTGTGCTCTCTTCCCCTGCTAACACCTTGAAGATGCAGAAATTATTAAGTTATAAAATCCTGCTTTAAACAACTCTCGTTGCAGTGAAGTCTAACAGACTTCAGTCTGTTGTTTAAAGCTGGTCACCTTCCAAATGTGCTGAACTGTTAACCCGTAAACGGTCCAAGCAGATCTACGTTCACATGTGTAGCGCTACAAAAGTAGATCTACGTTTTTTTTACATATTTTCAAATATAACAAAAAAAAAGTAGATCAAAGTTTTTTTACACATTTTCAAATGTAGAAAAACAAAAAGATCTACTTTTTTTACATACTTTCAAATGTTGAAAAAACGTATATATACGTTTGGACCGTTTACGGGTTAATAAGTGATTATTAGTTAGTTAAGACATTTGAACTCTAATGCTGATGCACTTCTGGCAAAACATCTACAGGTGCTCCTCAGTTCATTATATTTCAACTTTACGATGGTGCAGAAGCAATTATGTTGAAGAAAAAACTTGGCGATTACCCAGCACGAAGACAGCAAGTCCATAATGTGTATTCAATTTACTTTCCAATACTAGTTTTTAGTTACAGTAATTATTTGTTTATTTACTAATTCAGTGACAATGCATCCTCTCCTCATTTAGTGACGTACTCGTTTACTGACACCCCAGACTTACGACAGGCTCTCTGACCAGTATTCATACCTAAATAATGTACTATATTAGGTGGGCTAGTGCAAAGATGAGTAGTGGGGGGTTGAAGAGGGTTGGAATAGTTTTAAAAATGCAGTATTAGAATGTGGGGCAGAAGTTTGTGGTTATAGGAGGGTGGGGGCAGGAGGAAAGAGGAGTGATTGGTGGAATGATGAAGTAAAGGGTGTGATAAAAGAGAAAGAGGTAGCTTATGAGAGGTTTTTTACAAAGCAGAAGTGTTATAAGAAGAGCAGAGTATATGGAGAGTAAAAGAAAGGTGAAGAGAGTGGTGAGAGAGTGCAAAAGGAGAGCAGATGATAGAGTGGGAGAGGCACTGTCAAGAAATTTTAATGAAAATAAGAAAAAATTTTGGAGTGAGTTAAACAAGTTAAGAAAGCCTAGGGAAAGTATGGATTTGTCAGTTAAAAACAGAGTAGGGGAGTTAGTAGATGGGGAGAGGGAGGTATTAGGTAGATGGCGAGAATATTTTGAGGAACTTTTAAATGTTAAGGAAGAAACAGAGGCAGTAATTTCATGCACTGGTCAGGGAGGTATACCATCTTTTAGGAGTGAAGAAGAGCAAAATGTAAGTGTGGGGGAGGTACGTGAGGCATTACGTAAAATGAAAGGGGGTAAAGCAGCTGGAACTGATGGGATCATGACAGAAATGTTAAAAGCAGAGGGGGATATAGTGTTGGAGTGGTTGGTACTTTTGTTTAATAAATGTATGAAAGAGGGGAAGGTACCTAGGGATTGGCGGAGAGCATGTATAGTCCCTTTATATAAAGGGAAAGGGGACAAAAGAGACTGTAAAAATTATAGAGGAATAAGTTTACTGAGTATACCAGGAAAAGTGTACGGTAGGGTTATAATTGAAAGAATTAGAGGTAAGACAGAATGTAGGATTGCGAATGAGCAAGGAGGTTTCAGAGTGGGTAGGGGATGTGTAGATCAAGTGTTTACATTGAAGCATATATGTGAACAGTATTTAGATAAAGGTAGGGAAGTTTTTATTGCATTTATGGATTTAGAAAAGGCATATGATAGAGTGGATAGAGGAGCAATGTGGCAGATGTTGCAAGTATATGGAATAGGTGGTAAGTTATTAAATACTGTAAAGAGTTTTTATGAGGATAGTGAGGCTCAGGTTATGGTGTGTAGAAGAGAGGGAGACTACTTCCCGGTAAAAGTAGGTCTTAGACAGGGATGTGTAATGTCACCATGGTTGTTTAATATATTTATAAATGGGGTTGTAAAGGAAGTAAATGCTAGGGGTGGGGTTAAATTTTGGGGAATCAAATTCAAAATGGGAATTGACACAGTTACTTTTTGCTGATGATACTGTGCTTATGGGAGATTCTAAAGAAAAATTGCAAAGGTTAGTGGATGAGTTTGGGAATGTGTGTAAAGGTAGAAAGTTGAAAGTGAACATAGAAAAGAGTAAGGTGATGAGGGTGTCAAATGATTTAGATAAAGAAAAATTGGATATCAAATTGGGGAGGAGGAGTATGGAAGAAGTGAATGTTTTCAGATACTTGGGAGTTGACGTGTCGGCGGATGGATTTATGAAGGATGAGGTTAATCATAGAATTGATGAGGGAAAAAAGGTGAGTGGTGCGTTGAGGTATATGTGGAGTCAAAAAACGTTATCTATGGAGGCAAAGAAGGGAATGTATGAAAGTATAGTAGTACCAACACTCTTATATGGGTGTGAAGCTTGGGTGGTAAATGCAGCAGCGAGGAGACGGTTGGAGGCAGTGGAGATGTCCTGTTTAAGGGCAATGTGTGGTGTAAATATTATGCAGAAAATTCGGAGTGTGGAAATTAGAAAAAGGTGTGGAGTTAATAAAAGTATTAGTCAGAGGGCAGAAGAGGGATTGTTGAGGTGGTTTGGTCATTTAGAGAGAATGGATCAAAGTAAAATGACATGGAAAGCATATAAATCTATAGGGGAAGGAAGGCGGGGTAGGGGTCGTCCTCGAAAGGGTTGGAGAGAGGGGGTAAAGGAGGTTTTGTGGGCAAGGGGCTTGGACTTCCAGCAAGCGTGCGTGAGCGTGTTAGATAGGAGTGAATGGAGACGAATGGTACTTGGGACCTGACAATCTGTTAGAGTGTGAGCAGGGTAATATTTAGTGAAGGGATTCAGGGAAACCTGTTATTTTCATATAGTTGGACTTGAGTCCTGGAAATGGGAAGTACAATGCCTGCACTTTAAAGGAGGGGTTTGGGATATTGGCAGTTTGGAGGGATATGTTGTGTATCTTTATATGTGTATGCTTCTAAACTGTTGTATTCTGAGCACCTCTGCAAAAACGGTGATAATGTGCGAGTGTGGTGAAAGTGTTGAATGATGATGAAAGTATTTTCTTTTTGGGGATTTTCTTTCTTTTTTGGGTCACCCTGCCTCGGTGGGAGACGGCCGACTTGTTAAAAAAAAAAAAAAAAAATTAGAGCTGATTTCCTCTATTCTGTTTATTTCAATATACAGTACACTACTGTATAAACATTTAAAAATATGCCAGAAATGTTATAAATGGTGCAAAGGTGACATTAAAACAATATCAAAGATGGTTGACACAAACCCACTACCATTATAGTATGCTCCTCACTTAGCGACTAATGCGTTTAATGACATCATCTCAGGAACAGAACTCCGTTGTTAAGTGAGGAGAGGCTGTAGTTACATACTGTGGTCCCTCGATAATCGTCCTTTTCGGAAATCGTCATGTTATTTTCATCCAAACATTGGCTCGCAAATGGTCGGTTGACTCGCTAATCGTCGTTTGTCCTGGACGCGTACTCATGGCTCTAAGCCGTCTCGGCTTCCCTTCCCAGCCAGTGTGCCATTGTTTACCAGTGAGCGATGGCCCCCTCACTTGTTCATACAAAATATTTCATAATATTTCCATTCATTTTAGTGCTTGCAAGTGCTAAATAAGCTACAATGGCTCCAAAGAAAGCTCGTAGTGCCAAGCCTTTGGTAAAGAAGGTGAGAAATACGACTGAATTTAAGAAAACATCATTGAACAATATGAAAGTGGCGTACGTGTGGCCGAACTGGCCAGGATGTATAACAAACCCCATACAACCATATCTTCCATCGTGGCAAAGAAAAAGGAAATCAAGGAAGCTTTTGTTGCTTGAAGAAAATTGTGGTCAGACTGTGTCCAAAAGAGGGATTTTGAAGGGTTTGTGGCTGACCCTGATGGGCCTATGTCAGTTGTGAAATCTATTGTGGCATTGGGGAGTTCCATGGGGTTGGATGTGAGTTTGGAGGATGCGGAAGAGTTGGTGGAGGACCACAACGAAGAGCTAACCACTGAGAAGCTGCAAGAGCTTCAGCAGGAAGAGCAATAGATCGGAGCTCAGAATCTTGCTGCAGAGGAGGAGGAAGAGAGATGGAAGAAGGTGCCTTCTTCAGAAATTAAGGAGATTTTTGAAATGTGGGGTAGGATGGAAAGATTTTTGGAGAAACATCACCCTGAGAAGGATGTTGCAAGCCATATCGGCAACTTGTACAGTGACAGTCTTTTGGCCCATTTTAGGGAAGTTTTAAAGAGACGCCAGAAACAGAGCTCTCTGGACACTTTTTTTGCGAGACAGGACTCCAGTGACTCTCAAGGTGGTCCTAGTGGCATTAAGAAACAGAGAAGAGAAGTATGTAACCCCAGAAAAGGACTTGGTACCTGAGGTGTTGATGAAAGGGGATTCCCCTTCCAAACAGTAACTAATCCAATCTCTCTCCTCTTCCAGTCTTCCATACACTAAGAAGAATCACCAATAAAGGTAAGTGTTATGCTGTTAATGTTTCATTCATCATGTCCCATTGTATTGTTTATGTACTACATGTATATTTCATGTAAAAAAATTTTTTGTTTTAATACTTCTGGGTGTCAGGAACGGATTAATTGTATTTACATTATTTCTTATGGGGAAAATTGATTCGAAAATCATCTATTTCGATAATCATCGCACTTCCAGGAACGGATTAACGACGATAAACGAGGGACCACTGTATTTACTTATCTATTTAGCATATAATCAACTGATGGTATTTTTGACTTACAACGGGTTCGTCGAAACGTAACCCCATCATAAATCAAGGAGCGCCTGTGCAGTATTGAATGCATGCTGGTGAATGAATCTATTTTGGGGCATCCTGCCTTGGTGAGAAGTGGCTGATGTGGATATAAAAAATTAAGGTTGAACTAACAACTACTGAACTTCAAATAAGTAGCTATGATTTTAGTGGGAGACTTAGTCAAGCTACACAACTGTTTACTATCTTCAACTCAAAACTTGAGGATAACTGCTTTAATTTCTCATGAATTGTGAATCAATTCTTATTATATTTTTTATCTATTCATCAATAAAATACAAGGAACAACAAGCACAAACTTTGCTCTTTTTTAAAAATTTCAGCTCACACTTTGTAAAGTAAAAGGACGCAAGTGCAACTAATGTGACATTTTATTGTGGCAACGTTTCGCTCTCCAGGAGCTTTATCAAGCCATTTCGCTCCTGGAGAGCGAAACGTTGCCACAATAAAATGTCACATTAGCTGCACTTGTGTCCTTTTACTTTACATATTGTCAGTAATTCTACCAACTTTATTACAGCTCACACTTTGCTAAAACTTTGATTCTGGTAGTTTTAACATACAAGACCAGTTGGAACAAAAACACTTCATTAGCTTAAACTAGGAAGTTACTGGATTTACAAAGCACTTACACCTATAAGATCATCAAGCATTTGGTAATATAAAAAAATTATATGCAATCACACACAAATACTATCATTTACAAGCCAAATTTACACTAGAAAAATAAGTCATTCAAACCAACATGTATGCAACTAAAAGAATAACACTGTCACTGTACTATCACACTAAGTTAAAATATAAAACTACAGGTCGACCAACACTAATCCGGCAATCAGTTATCTGGTTCCATCAGCATTCTGGCACTAATTTCGGCCAGCATAATTTCAAATTTCATCATTATACTGACTCAGAAATTGTGCAGATGGTTGTAAATCCACAGCAGCAGGCCAGTGGAGGAGAAACCAGTGATGATAATGCAGAAGATGTAGCAGAAAGTCTCTACTGATAGGTTACTTAAGTGTATTCTAACCTAACCACCCTGTAAGCTGGCAAACTCACTAATCCGGCACACTACAGGTCTCAATGATGCCGGATTAGTGATGGCCGAGCTGTACCACGTTGGCCATTTCCCACCAACATAGAATGACCAAGAGAAGGAAAAACATTCACCACAGTCATTCAGAAGTTAAACAAACAGTATTAATTACTAAATAATAAACTGTTAATGTCAAACATCTAAGAGATGCTGTATACATATTGCAGAGATGCTGAGATTAACTTAATCATACTCTATATGACTGCAAAATAACCACATTGAAAAAATAGTGACATTCTAAGCCCTGTTGTGATTTCTCACATCGATAATGTGAGAAGTCACAAAAGTGCTTGGAATTTCACAATTTTTTCAGTGTGGATATTTTGCATATTGTGATATCACCAGTTTACTGTGATCTTATTGCACACTATGTTCATATATCTACAATAAATAATGCCTAGTCAATCCTGGATTAGAAAGACTCTTGGAACTCAAAGGTAAAAAAAGGATATCTAATAACTGCCTGGACCTAGATATTAGGGATCTATTATCTGTTAGTGGTTCAGGGGTTCATCGTCTCTGTGGCTTAGTCTCAGACAAAGTCTCATAAATTGAAAGAAATATGTATTAAAAAATAAAAACTATTAAGAAGAGCACAGGAAAGTAAAGATAAATGCATGCTGAATGTAAGAAAAAGTTTATGCAGTTTACTTATTTTAATGATCACACATGCTCAAAAAATTTAAACAAAATTAGTATGAGGAAGATAAGATTAGTTTGGATTTTTAAATCAGGTTAGGGAGGGTTAGCCACCCAGGATAACCCAAGTTAGTGCATCAGGTATTGTCTGTCTTATTTCCATTTTGGTCCTTCAATCTTGATCCCCAGGATGCAGCCCACACTAGTCAACTAATACCCAAGTACCTACTTACTGTTAAGCGAGCAGGGACGGCAGGTTTAAGGTAACATGCCCAGCACGTCTGCCCATACAGGGAATTGAACAATGGACACTCAGTGTGGGAGTGGTTTTCCCACTAACACACAATAGGTAGGATGGAGATAACTTAAATGTGGACTTAATTAGGAAGGTTGTATTTTACAATTAAAAAAAAGTATACAATCACAGCCAGTTACTAAGCCTACAAAGCTGATGCACCACCTAAAAATGGGTGAGGTGAGGGTAATCAGGTATGACATAAAACTGTGGTTTGGAGATAAATTAGTGCATAGATAGATAAAGTCTTGGAATATTCTATACAGCACAGGTAGGATACAGTTTAGACAAAATATAGGTACTGTAACTAAAAGGCATTGGGTAAGGCATTGGATGAAATTCATAATGCACTACAAAATAACACTGTACATTTAGCTCACCTGGCTATTCTTCATCTTTAATTCTAATTTATTCAGATTATCCTGGATATTAGAGAGAGCTGTCTCTCTTTGGATGAAGCTGTTTTCAATTTCTTCACAAAATTTAGGAGGCAGTTGTTGCTGTCGCTGCTGCTGCTGATGATGCTGTTGCAGTTGCAGCTGCTGTTGCTGCTCCAAGTTGCATTTCCCACTATCCCCATGGTGGTTGTCACCAGCCTCAACAATTTTCTTCACAGGTAAACATTTTTTCTGCATTTTTTGGGGACTGATATTATGGCGAGGTTTAACGTTTACGAGGAGTGTAGGCGCGGGATTCACTTGCAGGCACTTGGCAAGTGGACTTTCTATGTTCAGTCTTGGCTTGAAGCGTTTGAAGTCCCTGGATACTGCAGGAGATGGTGTCTTATTTACTATATTACCTCTTGTCTGTGCAGGAAGTTTGGTTCCTGGAGTGGGAGTTTGTTTTAGTAATTTTCTGGAAGCTTTTTGGGGTGTTGGATGGGGTGGAAGACTCGAAAATGATCCAGGTTTTGTGCCAAATATAGTAGAAGGGGACTGCAGGCGTGCTGGAGTGTTGTGTCTTGACACAGGAGTCCGAGGATGAATTCTACTTACTGAACAAGGAATTATTGGTGTTCTGCCTGGTGACTGGTAAAGGTTTGAAGGTTTCCTAATGTTTGTTAATGACCCTGAACGAGTCAAGCCTGAACCCCGAAAGGGAAGCCGTTGGACTGCTGGCCGTTCATTGGATTTGATGGCAGGGGAATGTTTGCGAGTGAATATTTTTGGTTTATCAACAGTGCCTTGTTGTACTGGTGTTCCTTTGAAACCATGACAACCTTTCTTAGGGGAAATTAACCTATTGTGAGGCTGTTTTGCTCTTACTTCATTTGAATGTGTACTATCAAATTTAGGTGTGTTTGGTGTTGATGCTAAGAGGGAAATGGGTTTCTTGGGACTAGGAGAAAACACATTACGAGGCGGCTTAGGTGGTGGCTCCTTCCTAGTTACACTCTGTGGTTTGTAGGGAGAACATGAAATACTTGCCTTTGTTCGTACGCTTTCAACACATTCTGGAGGTTTGACATGCTTTTGATGTGGCGATTCTCGAGTTGATTCTAGTGTTGGTTGGAAGTTAGAAATGGTGCTGGAAACACTAGAATTACGGGGCATACCAACAATAGTGTCATCAACTGAGCTGTCTATTGTGGCTGCTTTCTTCTGTATTGCTTCCCCATAATTGATGCCATATTTCAGCATCATCTCCATCTCTTCAACAGTATCATTAAATCTAGGAGATTCATGCTGCAGTGCTTGTGTGTCATCTGTAGAGGTATTACAGCATTTCTGAGGTGTCTTACTTGTCTCCAAGAAATAATTCTCATGCACTGGACTAGCATACTCCTGACTTTCTTCACTGCTAGTACATATATGCTGACCCTCAGAGACAGTGCCACTTGAGGAATGAGAGGTGGTTGGTAGCATAGACTCTCCCGAGTTGTCTGAACGAGAGATAACCATAGCCTTGTTTGCTGAGCCATAGCTCTCGATGTCTAGATCTTCTGAGCTCTGGCTCTTCTCATAAGAATGGCACTGCCTGTGATCTCCATTATCTTGCAAGCTTTCTTCAGTCAGAAAATCTCCATATATATAGCTGTTGTCCACATTAATGATTTTCAGGGAACTGTAATAACTCTGACGAACATCTGATGATCTGTCATTTTCTTTCTTCGAAGTTTGTTCACCTCTGGTAGCTTGATGCAAATCATCAGCAGAATCAGCTTCACCAGGAGTGAAATTTGCTGTCATACCATTATCATCAACCTCTTTCTCTCTGATGACACATTCTTGAAGCATTTTTACAATATTTAACTGATCTTTACTCTCACTTTCTTCCACAGTGTCCGTTTTATTCGAAGGAGAAGTCTCTCGTGGATGTCTTTCTCTGATGGTAGATTCTTGAACCTCTTTCACAATATCCCAATCATCTTTCATCTTATTTTCCTTCGCACTGGCTGTGACAAGCGGAATGATGTCTCTCGCAACATCTGATGCACTGGAGCCCTGCAGTTTGCTCATAACTACATTTCCATGTAAAGTTTCCCATGCATTATTTTCTCTCATGGTGGGGAGACCTCTATTACCACTATTCTCCACACTGACTGCAATCTGTGGTAAATTCTCTCTTTCAATGACCACTTCATTAGTAAGAGAAAGATCCATCATATCTACATTGTTATCTTCAACCTCACATGAACTTCCTTCAATGATGGCTGATTCTTGAGGTATTTTTATGTTATTTAACTGATTCTCAGTCATTTTATCATTCACACTTGCTGTGATCTCTTGTAAACTATCTCTTGAAATTACTGCTTCAGAGGAAAGAGACTGTTCGAAGATATCTATAGCTTTAGATAAAGTCTTGTGCTTATTTTCTTCAGCAGCTGATTCAAGCTTCTTTACATTAACCAAGTGATCTATACTTCTGTCACTCACACTGACTGTGACTGGTGTTACATTATCTTGTGCAATGCTCTTCAACACTTCCTTTATCTCTTCCTCCACTAGGGCTGTCACAAAAACTTCCTCTCTTCTAGTCAACGGTACTTCCTGACTAACTGGCAGTGACAAATGCTCCACTGGAATTGTACCCGGGGACTCGATGTTGCCTCTCCTGTCACTCTGATCATTATGGTTTGCTAGATCCCGTATTTGTCTTTCTATTGATTTTAAAAAGCCAGCAATAGATCGTTGTGACACAACACTTTCACTAGTGACAACACTGGGTTCCTCAGGGACATGTGTATTTGAGTTACTTGCATCATCTACCTGATCATTAAACCCATCATTATTTATACTGACTGTGGCATCAGGCACATTCTCTCTCATATTGAATGTAGCCCTTGGATTAGTCTTTTCCTCCTCAGCCAAAGTTACTACTGTGACACACTTTTTGCTTGTGCTGCTCTCTTCCTTACTAACTCGACTAGGTAAATACTCCACTGGGCCAACAGAAGGAATATGGTCGACTTGTGCATCCTCCTGAGAAATACAGTCAGAGATGTCACCCAGCTGCAATTCTGAGGACTTGGAAAAGCAATTAACAGGTTCCCTTGACATAAGGCTCTGACTATTTGTGCCAATCCTCTCCTTACTGAAAGGACTTTGTAAACAACCCACTAAGTTATTAAGAGGACTCTTGGCAGTCTTTGCTTCTTCCTGTACACTACAGTTTGCCAAGTCACCCAGCTGTAAAGACTTGGAAGAGCAATCAGCAGTTCCCCATGTCATAACACTTTCACTTGCTGTGACAAGCTCAGACTCAGTAACTTGTCGTGGCATAAACTCCACTGGGTTATTAGCATGTTTGTCGATGACATTCCTGTCTTCCCATGCATTACAGTCAGAAATGTAACTCAGTTGAAACTCTGAGGATTTCAAATAGCAATCAACAGTGTCCCCTGAAATAGCACTCACATTGGTGAAATCCTTGTGTTCTTCATCAGACACTTCAGAGTGAGTGTTACTAAGAAGAGCACTGTCACAGCTGGTGACAAGGCTCTCAGGACAGCTGGTGACAAGGCTCTCAGGATAACTGGTGACAAGGCTCTCAGGCCTAGATGATAAACTAAGCTTTTCTGATGAAGTCTCCCAGCCAAATGATTTCTGAGAATCACTTTCACCGACTGCCACACACAGACTGACATCAGTACTTCCATCATCAGAACACTCCTTCACTTCTCTGCTGGAATGGGAAAACACAAATAATGGTTCCTGGTTCTTCAACTGTGTATCCAATGCAGGATAAGATAACTGAGGTAAGCTTCTATGAAAGCTGTTCACATGAGCTGCTGCTGAGGGGTGGCCAGCAAGATCTTGTTCATCCACAGATATAGAATCCCTGTATGCACTGTAACGCCCTTGTTCATCTATCTCCTCTAGGGATGCAAGCGATGGACTGGAAATAGTTAATTTTTTGTTAATAAACTACACATACTGTATACCCAATAATAACCTACATGGGGACATGTTCAAAATTAATTAGTCTGTATATTTTGAACACCTTTTGAGTAGATCTGCTGAATAGGACCCCAGCAGAGGGTTGAATTTTTTTTTTTTTTTCTTCTTCAACAAGTTGGTCGTCTCCCACCGAGGCAGGGTGACCCAAAAAAGAAAGAAAATCCCCAAAAAGAAAATACTTTCATCATCATTCAACACTTTCACCACACTCACACATTATCACTGCTTTTGCAGAGGTGCTCAGAATACAACAGTTTAGAAGCATATACGTATAAAGATACACAACATATCCCTCCAAACTGCCAATATCCCAAACCCCTCCTTTAAAGTGCAGGCATTGTACTTCCCATTTCCAGGACTCAAGTCCGACTATAAGAAAATAACCGGTTTCCCTGAATCCCTTCACTAAATATTACCCTGCTCACACTCCAACAGATCATCAGGTCCCAAGTATCATTCGTCTCCATTCACTCCTATCTAACACGCTCATGCACGCTTGCTGGAAGTCCAAGCCCCTCGCCCACAAAACCTCCTTTACCCCCTCTTTCCAACCCTTTCGAGGATGACCCCTACCCCTCTTTCCTTCCCCTATAGATTTATATGCTTTCCATGTCATTCTACTTTGATCCATTCTCTTTAAATGACCAAACCACCTCAACAACCCCTCTTCTGCCCTCTGACTAATGCTTTTATTAACTCCACACATTCTCCTAATTTCCACACTCCAAATTTTCTGCATAATATTTACACCACACATTGCCCTTAGACAGGACATCTCCACTGCCTCCAACCGTCTCCTCGCTGCTGCATTTACCACCCAAGCTTCACATCCATATAAGAGTGTTGGTACTACTATACTTTCATACATTCTCTTCTTTGCCTCCATAGATAACGTTTTTTGACTCCACATATACCTCAACGCACCACTCACCTTTTTTCCCTCATCAATTCTATGATTAACCTCATCCTTCATAAAGCCATCCACCGACACGTCAACTCCCAAGTATCTGAAAACATTCACTTCTTCCATACTCCTCCTCCCCAATTTGATATCCAATTTTTCTTTATCTAAATCATTTGATACCCTCATCACCTTACTCTTTTCTATGTTCACTTTCAACTTTCTACCTTTACACACATTCTCAAACTCATCCACTAACCTTTGCAATTTTTCTTTAGAATCTCCCATAAGCACAGTATCATCAGCAAAAAGTAACTGTGTCACTTCCCATTTTGAATTTGATTCCCCATAATTTAATCCCACCCCTCTCCCGAACACCCTAGCATTTACTTCTTTTACAACCCCATCTATAAATATAAAACAACCATGGTGACATTACACATCCCTGTCTAAGACCTACTTTTACCGGGAAGTATTCTCCCTCTCTTCTACACACCCTAACCTGAGCCTCACTATCCTCATAAAAGCTCTTTACAGCATTTAGTAACTTACCACCTATTCCATATACTTGCAACATCTGCCACATTGCTCCTCTATCCACTCTATCATAAGCCTTTTCTAAATCCATAAATGCAATAAAAACTTCCCTACCTTTATCTAAATACTGTTCACATATATGCTTCAATGTAAACACTTGATCAACACATCCCCTACCCACTCTGAAGCCTCCTTGCTCATCCGCAATTCTACATTCTGTCTTACCTCTAATTCTTTCAATTATAACTCTACCGTATACTTTTCCTGGTATACCCAGTAAACTTATTCCTCTATAATTTTTACAATCTCTTTTGTCCCCTTTCCCTTTATATAAAGGAACTATACACGCTCTCCGCCAATCCCTAGGTACCTTCCCCTCTTTCATACATTTATTAAACAAAAGTACCAACCACTCCAACACTATATCCCCCCCTGCTTTTAACATTTCTGTCATGATCCCATCAGTTCCAGCTGCTTTACCCCCTTTCATTCTACGTAATGCCTCACGTACCTCCACCACACTTACATTCTGCTCTTCTTCACTCCTAAAAGATGGTATACCTCCCTGGCCAGTGCATGAAATATACCAATTAACTTTCCGAGTGCCTGTCTCCAAGTGGGTCATTATTGAGCATTGACAAGTATTTACTACACTATCCTTACTGTTAATAGTAAAGATCAGAGATTAAGAGCAAATTCAAATAAATTAAGGAGGTGAGCTTGATCCCCCCAATTTGCAGGGTTTACATTCCTCTATTACTCTCATGAAGCTCTGAACTCCAACAAGGAAGCAGAGTGTGTCTGGACCCTGATAATGGTCAAAACCTTACTGTGAAGCTGAAGTGTGAAATATAACAAGCTTCACCCAAGCAGAACTGAAACATGCCCTGAGCACCAGCAGAACTCAATGTCCTTGTGGCAGGAGTGAACACAAACTAACCACTCCTGGATTTTATGGACATAGGATGAACAGGGCACAATGCAGCAATCAGGGCATTCTGGGAATCATCCATAGTTAAACTGACCCCTATTTCTGCTGATTTATACAAAATATTGTGGAACTCCATGATGAACAGCAAGGGTTTGATTACTAGCTGTGGGCAGTCTCCAATGATCATCACTACTAAACCAATGCCACCATGGCCAGGCTCCGGGAGTAGAAAAACTTTCGAAACTCATCAAATGTATACAGTGTATATGAAAAGTGTACATTGGTTTTCAACCTATCTGTAAAGACTCTGAGGCTTGAAGTGCAACCAGAAACACAACTGAGGAAGTTTTTAAAAGATCATTACTGGAACCAGGCCCTCTTAAGATCCTCATCCACTAACTATAAGTGTACATCAGTCGCCTCACGAAATCGTAATGACAACTGCAAACAAACCATACCACGGGTAGAGATAAAACCCACAATCAGTTAACATCCAGAGATGGTATGGCCATCTGCCAAATAAGTGAGGAATTACCAGGTAAGAGATGGTATAAAATACTGACAATTACGAAATAAGACACATGCAGTGTTAGGATATTTTATAGACAAAACATTTCACCACACAGAAGCTATTCATGGTAAAGCATTTCCTCAATAAAACATCCAAACAATGCAAAATTATCGAGACCTTACTTCATGAATGAACTCCGTACAACATGTTGCTTTAAACTGTTCCTTGATCTGATGGTCAGAGAACTCCAGTCACCAACTGACTGAATAATCAGGTCATCAACCAGGAGCCTTGACTGGAAACTAACTTGGGGGACAGTAAACATTATAACCACTACGAACAACTCATTAATGTTTAAAATTGAGAAGTGATGTAAAATATCCTTTATTGTCATATTTAGCACAACAAGATTTCAGCAATGTTGGTGGTCAATGGATATAAATTACACAGTACTCTAGTACATTTTTGAGTATACTACAATACACTATACTGTATAATGACACCCTAAGCATTACAGTAGAACCCACGTATCTATGGGTTCGGCATCCGTGGTTTCAGTTATCCACAGTTTACCACGGCCTGAAAATAACTTTTAATTTTGCTTAATAATGACCCCAAAGTGCAAAGCAGTGAAGCTGGTAGTTCTTCACAGCCTAAGAGAAGCCGTGAAATGCTTCCCATCAGTGAAAAAGTGATAATTATACTTTTTTTTTTTTTTTTTTTTTTTTTTTTTCAACAAGTCGGCCGTCTCCCACCGAGGCAGGGTGACCCAAAAAAAAGAAAGAAAATCCCCAAAAAGAAAAACTTTCATCATCATTCAACACTTTCACCACACTCGCACATTATCACTGTTTTTGCAGAGGTGCTCAGAATACAACAGTCTAGAAGCATACACATATAAAGATACACAACATATCCCTCCAAACTGCCAATATCCCAAACCCCTCCTTTAAAGTGCAGGCATTGTACTTCCCATTTCCAGGACTCAAGTCCGACTATATGAAAATAACCGGTTTCCCTGAATCCCTTCACTAAATATTACCCTGCTCACACTCCACTTAATTTGCATAATTTAGCAATTAAACTTTATCATAGGTATAGTATATATAAATGAAAAATGACACACTGTACCATTACTATCCATGGTTTCAGGTATCCACAGTAGGTCTTGGAATGTATTCCCTGCGGATACGGGGAGACTACTGTATAAACTACCACTGTTGGTAAGTTTATTTAGGTACAGGTCCACATAAACACAATTATCATATATAGTAACATGCTTAACAATTCGTAAACAGGCGAAATTATTTACAAACATTATCTCTCAGTCCACAGCAGGGTTAGAACCTACACACACTGCATCAAAGTACTACAGTGGTACCCCGAGTTTCGTACAGCTCCCAACTCGACAAATTATGTAAGTGTATTATTGTAAGTGCTTCTTTAAGTGCATTTTTGGGGGTCTGAAATGGACTAATCTAATTTACGTTATTCCTTATGGGAACAAATTCATTCGGTAACGGCACTCGAACAGCCTTCTGGAACGAAGAAAGTTCGAAGCTCAGGGTACCACTGTACGTACTTTGATGCAGAATGTGTCAAATTTTTCTGTGGACGAGAGATAATGATTGTACAGAGTAACATATGTACATTCACAGTAAAATTTCATAGCTGTAGCAAAAAATATACAATACATACACAGATGATCGACGTCTCAACACAGGTCCACGGACGTAAACTTCTGTCCGTCTGTTGCGAACTTTTTCTGCGATTCGTTCCTCTCTCTCCGTAATAGGTCCAAAAAAGACTTCATCTTCGCTATCGTTCTCCATGGTTTCTTAAATCAAAATAGAGAATAAATTCATCTGAATGCATGTTTTTAGACATATGCAAATTAAGTTAATCTGAAATCCATTCATCTAATTTTAAATTAATGAAAAGTTGCAAAGTTAATGGGAAGTTAAGACCATAATGGGAGGCACTAATGGGGTCTTCATCGAACCTCATCAATTCCCATTACCAGGTACATGACTATGGGTTTAACACTTACCACTCGAAATACAATGACTACCAGTAAAATTAATTTGTTATTTTTGGTTAAATTTGCATAATTTACTAGTGTGTGGCTGTAATAAATGCATATTGTAACCGCTGTGTGTGTGGTGCTGTCAAGCCATGTAGCAAGCCAGAATTATAATTATTATCGTCATTGTATCATTGTCACTGTATCATTGTCACTGTATCATTGTCATTGTATCGTCACTGTATCATCGTCATTGTATCAGTGTCATTGCACCATTGTCACTGTATCATTGTCATTGTATCAGTGTCATTGTACCATTGTCACTGTATCATTGTCATTGTATCAGTGTCATTGTACCATTGTCACTGTATCATTGTCATTGTATCAGTGTCATTGTACCATTGTCACTGTATCATCATCATTGTATCAGTGTCATTGTACCATTGTCACTGTATCATCATCATTGTATCAGTGTCATTGTACCATTGTCACTGTATCATCGTCATTGTATTATCGTCACTGTATCATCGTTATTGTATCATCGTCATTGTATCATCGTCATTGTATCATCGTCATTGTATCAGTGTCATTGTACCATTGTCACTATTGTCACTGTATGATCGTCATTGCGTCATTGTACCATTGTCATTGTATCATCACTGTACCATCGTCATTGTACCACTGTCACTATGATTGTCATTGTATCATAGTCATTGTCATAGTCATTGTATCATTATCATTTTATTTAGAAGCACTAAATAAGTATGGGTTACACAGTACCTGGGAAACATTAAAGTTTGATCCAAGGAAGGTGAGAACAGCTCCAATTCCCTGAATCAAGATCCTGCATCAAGGAACCTCACATGACGGCATCATTATATCCCCACAAACAAGCGCTAAACCAGCAAGGCTCACATAACAAACAAGCGCTAAACCAGCAAGGCTCACATAACACCTACATCAACGTTAAACCATCAAGTTTGATCCAAGGCAGAGGAGGAGAACTTAATATATTATTTATAATTGCAAGACGACCTACCCGCCACAACCACCTTATTTAACCACCATTAAACCACTAACTACATATCTCACAGCTACTAGCAACTACCAGCATAATCTACATATATTAAACCAACTATTAAAACATCATGGGACATAAAACACACAATATTTACCAGAAAAACCGTCAAATAAGAGAGAATAAACCAGCGGATGTTTGAACCTGACTCCTGACTCGCCTCCTTCACATCTACCTAAATAACCTCTCTTATCTTTCACTTTTTTGACGCTTATTTTGTTAATTTAGAGAGAAATACAGCCATATATATCATATTTAATATTTATTAATTAATGTCATGTTGATTAGTGTTGTGTATGAGGGTAATTATGTCTGTGGCAGATAGTTCAAACTTTTCCCCGATGTGAAGCATCAACAACAACAAACAGCTGCTGGAATTATTTAATAAAAATACGTCCGTAGTGTCCTGATAATAATAATAATAATAAATAATAATAATAATAATAATAATAATAATAATAATAATAATAATAATAATAATAATAATAATAATAATAATAAATAATAATAATAATAATAATAATAATAATAATAATAATAATAAAATAATAATAATTTAGTAATAATAATAATAACAACAACAACAATAATAATAATAATAATAATAATAATAATAATAATAATAATAATAATAATAATAATAATAACAATAATAATAATAATAATAATAATAATAATAGTAATAATAATAATAATAATAATAATAATAATAATAATAATAATAATAAAAATAATAATAATAATAATAATAATAATAATAATAATAATAATATAATAATAATAATAATAATAATAATAATAATAATAATAATAGTAATATATAATAATAATAATAATAATAATAATAATAATAATAATAATAATAATAATAATAATAATAGTAATAATGATAATATATAATATAATAATAATAATAATAATAATAATAATAATAATAATAATAGTAATTAATAATATTAATAATTAATACTAATAAAGTTGGTAGAATTACCGACAATATGTAAAGTAAAAGGACACAAGTGCAACTAATGTGACATTTATTATGGCAACGTTTCGCTCTCCAGGAGCTTTATCAAGCCATGGCTTGATAAAGCTCCTGGAGAGCGAAACGTTGCCATAAAAAATGTCACATTAGTTGCACTTGTGTCCTTTTACTTTACAATTAATACTAATACTAATAATTAATAATAATAATAATAATTAATAATAATAATAATAATAATAATAATAATAATAATAATAATATAATAATAATTAATAATAATAATAATAACTAGTTAACTAACACCCAGGTACCTACTTGCTGCTAGGTGACCAGGGACAGCAGGTTCGATCACCGCCACACCCAACCGTGCCGGTTAGGTTAGGTCAGGTTAGGTTAGGTCAGGTTAGGTTAGGTTAGGTTAGGTTAGGTTAGGTTGGTAGGTTAGGTTAGTCAGTTAGGTTAGGTTAGGTTAGTGGTTAGGTTAGGTTAGGTTAGGTCAGGTTAGGTTAGGTTAGGTTAGGTTAGGTTAGGTCAGGTTAGGTCAGGTTAGGTCAGGTTAGGTTAGGTTAGGTCAGGTTAGGTCAGGTTAGATTAGGTTAGGTTAGGTTAGGTTAGGTCAGGTCAGGTTAGGTTAGGTTAGGTTAGGTCAGGTTAGGTTAGGTTAGGTTAGGTTAGGTTAGATCAGGTTAGGTTAGGTTAGGTTAGGTCAGGTTAGGTTAGGTCAGGTTAGGTTAGGTTAGGTCAGGTTAGGTTAGGTCAGGTTAGGTTAGGTCAGGTTAGGTTAGGTTAGGTCAGGTTAGGTTAGGTTAGGTTAGGTTAGGTTAGGTCAGGTTAGGTTAGGTTAGGTTAGGTTAGGTCAGGTTAGGTTAGGTTAGGTAAGGTTCGTCAGGAAACAGGACAAGTGTTTCCTGACGCGGGTCTTAGTCAGATGATGACCCGCCTTTGGAGCTTTGGTCATCTGACCGAGGCCTTCCGCTGGCTTACCGGTCCACCCCTTTAAAAATAATATAATTATATATATTAGCACCGTGCCGGTGATTGAACCACGGACAATGTGCGAGGCGAGTGCGTTGTTAACCAAGCCACTGATGCAGCTTGCAGTGATTCCCTTATGGAAACTGAACCATAACAACTTTCTTACCAACCTTCCAAGTAACAGCTCTTGGTCCTTTACTGCTATTAGTACTACTGCTATTACTACTACAATTACTATCACTACCACTACTACTACCACTACTACTACCACTTCTACTACCACTACTACCACTACTACTACCACAACTACTACCACTACTACTACCACTACTACTACCACTACTACTACCACCACTACTACCACCACTACTACCACTACTACTACCACAACTACTACCACTACTACTACCACTACTACTACCACTACTACTACCACTACTACTACCACCACTACTACCACTACTACCACTACTACCACTACTACTACCACCACTACTACTACTACCACTACTACTACTACAACTACTATCATCATTATTATCAATATTATAGCCAGGGTCACTGTAATAACGAATAGGCTCCACTAAGGGGTAACTACTACCACCACTACTACCACCACTACTACCACTACTACTACCACTACTACCACTACTACTACTACCACTACTACTACTACAACTACTATCATCATCATTATCATCAATATTATAGCCAGGGTCACTGTAATAACAATAGGCTCCACTAAGGGGTAACTACTACTACCACTACTACCACCACTACTACCACTACTACTACCACTACTACTACCACTACTACTACTACAACTACTATCATCATCATTATCATCAATATTATAGCCAGGGTCACTGTAATAACAATAGGCTCCACTAAGGGGTAACTACTACTACCACTACTACCACCACTACTACCACTACTACTACCACTACTACTACCACTACTACTACCACTACTACTATCATCATCATTATCATCAATATTATAGCCAGGGTCACTGTAATAACAATAGGCTCCACTAAGGGGTAACTTAATTATTCCAGCCATGTTGCAACTATATTTTATATTCTATACAACTTGCAATATAATGTGGCCTCCTAACCCTCTTTTGCATTAACCATTAGTTAACGGACAGGAAGTGGGTATTTTGTTTATGGTTTTTAGTGATTGAGGGGTTTCAGGGGTATTTTTTTATTGTGTAGTGGGTTACTGAAGAGAGTGGAGGGTAGGGAGAGAATCTGTTGCTTTTTTATCAATTTTTAGAGAGAGAGAGAGAGAGAGTCAGGCACGAGAAAGTTCCTCCATGAGCTACAGTGGGAAATGGTGGGAAAATCAGTAAATGAAATGATGAAATACGTGACGATAAAATGCAGAGACAAAGGAGAGGTTCGTACCCATGGGCAACAGAAACAATGGGAAGACCAGAGCGAGTCCTTGATTCACCCAAACATATAAGAAAAAAGTATATAAGAAAAGGAATCCAGGAAATGAGATTAGCCGCCATTAGCGGCCATACGAGAATGACATAGCATCGATAGTCAGATCTGACCCTAAGCTGTTGTACAGCCACATCAGGAGGAAGACAACAGTCAAGGACCAGGTAATCAGGCTGAGGAAGGAAGGAGGAGAGATCACAAGAAACGACCGAGAAGTACGTGAAAACTTCAACACCAGATTTAAGGAAGTGTTTCGGTGGAGACAGAAAGTACTCTGGAAAGCCAGAATGGTGGGGTACACCAACAAGTGCTGGACACACTAAACACCACCAAGGAGGAGTTGAAGATGCTACTAAGTGAACTAAAGGCTGTAGGACCCGATAACATCTCTCCATGGGTCCTGAGAGAGGGAGCAGAGGTGCTGTGTGTATACTAACACATCTACCAAAACTGGGCAACTACCTGATGTGTGAAAGAGAGTAAATGTAGTCCCAAGAGATGCTCAATATTAAACTACAGACCAGTGTCACTGACATGTATACTGTTGATAAATTAGACACATGTGCAACTCTTGGGTATCTTTATTGAGGAAACGTTTCGCCACACATTGGCTTCATCAGTCCATACATAGGAGAAACTTGAAGAACAGGAGGAGAATGAGGTAATCAGTCCCTCAACCTTGAGTCGATGTGTTCAGTCCATCAATCTTGACTGAACACATCGACTCAAGGTTGAGGGACTGATTACCTCATTCTCCTCCTGTTCTTCAAGTTTCTCCTATGTATGGACTGATGAAGCCAATGTGTGGCGAAACGTTTCCTCAATAAAGATACCCAAGAGTTGCACATGTGTCTAATTTATCAACATGTCGGTTCTCTGAACCATTCATCTACAGACATGTATACTATGCAAAGTTATGGAGAAGATTATAAGGAGAAGAGTAACGGAGCACCTACAAAAGACTGAACTTATACACGATAACCAGCACGGTTTCGGGGATAGGAAATCCTCTGTCATAAACCTACCGGAGTTTTACGAGAAGGTGACAGAAGGCGAGAGAGAGGGGTGGGTAGACTGCAATTTCTTAGACTGTAAGAAGGCTTTCGACAGAAGCTGGACAACCAGACAGGTATAACAGAAAAGGCACTGCAATGGATCAGAGAATACCCGACAGGAAGGAAACAACGAGAAGAAGAGAACCCGCAGTAATGGATTTAAATTAGATAAGTTTAGATTTAGAAAGGACATAGGAAAGTATTGGTTTGGAAATAGGGTAGTTGATGAGTGGAACAGTCTACCTAGTTGGGTTATTGAAGCTAAGACTTTGGGTAGTTTTAAATTTAGGTTGGATAAATATACGAGTGAAAGGGGTTGGATCTGAGTGGGATAGAGTTATCAGAGCTTATTTCTTGGGTAGCATTGAAAATTGAGTTGGGCAAATGTTTTGTTAGTGGGATGGATTGCAAAGGACCTGCCTAGTATGGGCCAACAGGCCTGCTGTAGTGATCCTCCTTTCTTATGTTCTTATGTTCTTACGTTCTTATGTGACGAGGTGTCAGAGTGGGCGCCTGTGACGAGTGGGGTTCCACAAGGGACGTCAAGTTAATGCAGAGCCAACCAAACCATACCCCCGGGCGGGATTGAACCCGCGGTCATAGAGTCTCAAAACTCCAGCCCGGCAAATGGCTCCTGGGGTTTAACCCCATCATGTGAAAAGTTATGAAGCTTGGGCAAGGAAAAAGAAGACCACAGACAGAGTACAGGCTAGGGGGTCAAA